TTATGGACAAAAAGTCGCTCCAGTCAACACTCACACATTAGCATAAAGCTGAAGTGATACAAATTATAGGCCGTCTGAGGACTTCACACATAAATTGGGCAAAATTACCAGCGGCGTGGGCTTCGGTGTCTACATAATTACAGAGAACAGTCTTTCTGGACGGGAAAAAAGGAGCGATTGTACCATCGTGATTATTAAACGCAACGTACGCGGCCCATGTGACAGGTACCTGTTATTCTGTACGTGTTCTACTTCATGTGCGTGTCTCTTTTCTGCAGAGTTCACCGTCTGCCCTATTTTTAGAGCTGTCTCCCGGCGTCTTCAGAGCGTCTCCGTCTCCGTCTGTATTCTGCCCCTCTGCACAGTTTCAGCCCTGGATTCATAGAACTTAATGCATACATATATTTATCCATGCAGAGGAGCTTTTTGATGATTTATGGACAGGCAACAACAAAGGCACACTCACAACAGGAAAGCGCAGTGATTTGTTTTGTGCAGGCTTTTCTCCCATTTTTCTTCGATTCCTTCTGAGACGACGCATTGTTTCAACTTGAAAGTGCATTAAGGAACTTTGTAACTTTGTCCAAAGTTCGGTAACAGTTCGGGAACGCGTTCAGAAGCAGAGGCGGCGAAAGTATCAACACCTGGTACTTTCATCGTCTCCTCACAGTGTGTTTCTTTTCTATAAGATGGTCCAATCTGGGGGGCGTGGTCAGGCACTGGTCCACACACTGGTCCATGTTCATCTGAAGCCTCGACATCACAACTGTTGACTGAATTCTACAACAGTAAAGAAAGAGTGAGCAGTCTTCAACCTTTTCTTATACCCATCTGCCCCTCGGCCTGCACACCTAATCTCCTTGTCAAGCATTTTCTGCAATACAGCACCTGTACTTCCGTACTTACTTTATAGTACTTTCCTGCCACTCTCGTTACGCCGTGTTTGTTCCTCGTACAGAACTTAAAAATCAACATTTATGTTCAGGAATATATTTATTCAGAATATATTTATTTATACAAGAATTTATTCAGGAATGAGCAAACTAAGGCCCGGGGGCCGGATGTGGCCCATTTAGCTTTTTAATCCGGCCCACCAAACTTTTCCAAATTATATAGTTATTTATATTATCATTATACTTCTGCCTTTTACCTGCAATAATCATATATCCCCAATAGATCGTGCAGCAAATGATAAAAGCATTTCAGCCTTTACGCATGACTTTTACATGACATTTATCTTAGTTGTTCAGTTTTAGGACAATTGTGGCCCCCGAGTCAGAAGTTTGCCCACGCCTGATTTATGCTGTACTTAGCATCAGGGACGACTTGAATCAATACTCACGATCAGTATCGGTCTAATATTGGTCAAAATGTCAAGATCAGATGTAAAAAAAAACCCAAAACAACCATAGCCCCGCGAATCCAAAATTTAACCACGAATGCTAATCCTGCCAGGTGGTAACCACGGTCATGTCGGCCTGTATATTGTTGTATATTGTTGCAGTATCAATATCGTTGTACGGCGCCATCTGTACTTAGCATCAAAGGTAAGGACGTAAAGATTCACAACAAATATTTTATCTGGCATTTTCTTCAGTACATTAACACGACCTGTTTGACAGGAGCCGCCTGCGCCGCACAGCCATAGGTATCAGACAGATATGACGGTGTAATGACTAAGATTAACACACACACACACACACACACACGACGTCTCGACGCGTCCACCTCCACAGGCCTAATTACTCCTCTGTCAGAATCCTTTCTTTTTTCTCTACGTCTGTCTAAATAGCACATTTCCGACAAAGTGACAAACAAGCCGTAGCATTTTCTCCCCCACTTACAGTGATGCACTACAGGACTATCATCTCACACCACAGACATCACCTCCATTTGGTCTTGAAAACTTGTTAGATGAGCATAATTATATATTTTCACGCTGACAAGTGAAGCATGATCGTCCTCATTTTCTGACAGTTGGTTTTCAAGGCTGTACAATGACGCTACGATGAGTAAGAATTAGGAGTAAAAAAAAAAAAAAAGTCCCACACTCCTACAGAGGCCTGTGGAATCCCATATCCCCTGCCATGGAGGCCCTGGGGTCTCATTTTAGATAACCAGTATTTCACAAATGGGATGTTTCTATTTTTTCTATTTTTTTTCTTTCTTTTTCTTTTTCACTTGTGTGGAAATAGCTCCTCAGATGACGGCTTCACAGTGAGACAGGATGGAGCTCTCGGTGCTGGGAGAATGCTTTAAATAATAAAAGCACACTGAGCTTCATGAATAGAGTATTATCGGAATATGAATGGGAATTTTTCTTTTTTTTAACTTCCTGCTTTTTGCCTTTGCCTTTCAGTGAGGCTCCAGAATACACTGTCTGCACAGTGTCCGTATTTATGGAAATAGAAAGGGACAGATGGAGAGAGGAGGAGGAGAGAGAGAGAGAGAGAGAGAGGGAGAGA